TCAGTAATCTTTTTTTCCATGAGTTTATTGGTAACTTTAAATTAAAAACAAAAGGGACCCCGAAAATATTTAAAGAAATGATGATGCTCATTGATAAGGCCTGAAAACCATTATATAATTTTCGACAGGGACAACGTAGTGTTACAGCAGCTGAGCGATCGGTGAAATCGCAAGTAGTTTACTTTGTCAACTTAAATAACCATTCGAAGCAGTTGAAAATAAAGGAATAATGAAGAAAGAAAAAAATATAATAATTATAATAATAATAATAATTATAACAATAATAATAATAATAATAATAATAATAAAGTGCTCAGTGGTACACGTGAAGAGGGGAGCCCAAGTGCTAGACGAGTCTGGTATGAGGATGGACGAGACAACTACCATCACGGCTCTTGGGGAAGGAAAACACTACAAATTCCTGGGGGTGCTAGAGAACGTTCGACAGGATGAACGGCTGGCCCTAGCCTGCGCGGCTAAAGAGTATCTACGCAGTATATCTATTATATGGTCCAGCCCCCTGTCTGATTGTAACCGTGTGCAGGCATCTAATCAGTATGCACTCCCGGTCCTGCGGTACCTAATGTGGACACAGCATTGGCCTCTATCAGAGTTAAGAGATGTGGACAGAGCAGCTCGGAAGATCATAGTTGAGAACGGTGGCAAGCACCCAGCTAGCTGTAGCCTGACTTCTTTGTTATATCTACCGAGGGAGAAAGTGGGTAGAGGCCTGCGATCAGTCGAACACGAGTACAAGATCACTAAAATCAAATCGCTACTGAAACTGTATCAGAACCCGGACCCGACTGTGGAAGCAGTTAGAGAATTTGAAGAACACGCCATGGCATCAGGCCACCAGTCGCTCGTAAAGGAAGCAGCTAAGTACGCTGAAGAACTCAACATCACCCTTCAGCTTGATACCCTAAATCCCGTGTGTGTTACAACAGATGGAAAGGTGGTAACTGCAGCAAGAGCTGGGAATCTGTTGAAGCAATCTCAAGAGAAGCAGTTCTTGGAGAGCGCTAAAGACAAAAAGTGGCAAGGAAAGTTATTCCGTATCAGATGGGAAGATGAGAGCCTAAGCATAGCCAGCTGCTTTGCATGGTTAAAGGTTGGGCTACATGCCCTACACATACCATCGCGGGCATGTATGAACTGTATGAGCAGTTGTTACCTACGAAGCTCTACACAAAGGAGAAGACGCAAACCTCCACCGACGGCGAAGTTCTATGCAGGTTATGTGGGAAGGTAGCTGAGAGCGTTGCACATGTACTGGCTGGATGTTCCTCCCTGGCACAAACCAAGTACCTATACAGGCATAATGCAGCTTTGAAGATTCTGTTTTTTGAGCTCCTGCGAGAGCATGGGTTAATGGAAGAGGTTCCACCATGGTACTCACCGGTGATGCCAAAACCAGCCTACCAGAACACCACGAGTGAGGCGTTTTGGGATATTTCCATCTATGCAGAGCACAACGAAGTTAGAGCAAATCGGATCGACGCGCGACTTGTCAACCACGAGAGGAAAGAAGTCTGCACAATTGAAATGAGCTGCCCATGGATTGAGAGTAGAGCTAAGAAAGATGAGGAAAAGCCACTCAAGTATGGGCCCATGATTTGGGAGCTGAAGCAGAGATACAATGGTTACAGGGTTGAACAGTACAACGTAATAATTGACGTACTGGGGGGTTACTCTAAACACCTAGAGAAGTCGGTGAGGAAGCCTACTTGGAGCGAGAGCACGAAGCGTACTTCAGCGAATGCAGAAGTCGGTCATCTCAAACACTTTAAACATTGCCAGAACATTTAAGATAAATACTTAGTTAGGGCGCTATGGACTTCAGTTTTTAGGTTTTTGTTTTTTCTCTAGAAATCTAGAAACACAAGCTTGCTGACGTTTTTATTTAGATTTTTTAGAACATTAGAGTGTGATATTATTATAAATATGTTTTTAGTAGAGATAGCGAGGGTTTTACAGAGTATCAGAATTTAATAATATTCTAAATTGGCTTTTTAAGTAGAGAGATTTATATCACTATGTATAAGCTTTTAGTAGAGATAGCGAAGGTTTTACAGAGTATCAGAATTTAATAATATTCTAAATTGGTTTTTTAAGTAGAGAGATTCATATCACTATGTATTTTAGGATTGTATTAGGTTTCGTATCGACCTTTTTTTACTTCTAAGTATAGCTTCTCAAGTGGTGTAGGTTACGCTTTGCGCCCTATACTACTCATAATGTGGACAGCATTCCAAAGTTTCATACTGCGACATAATAATAATAATAGCAGCTTACTGCCATAACATGCAAAAAAATTAATGAATAAATAAACGGTTCAACTGTAGATCGGACAAATCCAGCATTTTAACAATTGGCGCCAGTCATTTCAAAAATAAACGTTTTGAGCCATTACATAAAAAGCTGAATTAGTAGAGGAGTCGACCCGCTTGTCACCGCGGAGAAAACTTATTATCATCAAGCTGACGATCACTTAATATATGACTTCAATTTCCGAGCGGGCAAGGCACGTACCGACATTAGAGAGTTTAAAGTTTACTTATACGGCAAACGGCAAACGTCAGATTCAAGTTGAGAATTTGTCAATATAGAAAATGAGTAGCTAAAAAAAGTTCAAAACAACTCCTATGGAAAAAAAATTGCGTGAAACTACTAATTTATGTGTAGAGGTAATGAACAGTAAACGACAAATAAAGTGGAAACTTGGTCACCTGGCACAAATTCGCGTTAGCCGTTTGACATAAACGTGACGTCTAACTGAAGCTTAGTCAATAAGGATAAAAGGAATCGAACGTCCGGAATTGCACGCTATTGTTTGAATAAAATGGGTTTAAGCTTATTTTCTTAAATCCTTCTTTTTTAATGTGATGCTTGTTGTTTTCTTCTAATCACTTTCTTTCTAGAATTCTCCAAAGAGAGAAGTATTATTTTTATAGGCCGGCAGGTGCATGATCCATTCAGGGATATATAATCAAAAGGGTAACAAGGTTTCAAATATGATAAGTTCAAGGGAACCTGGCTGCCTCTGCTATTAAGAGATTAATATGCTTTCCTGCCCTTTTGCCAGTCCAATTCAAGACTACTATAAATATTAAAAGAGAAATATACGTCAACAATATCTGAAATTTTCATTTTGATCGTTTCGTTCGTTGTTTTTAATTTTAACTTTAGAAGCAGCTATTTCTGTTCAAAAGAACGGTATGCAAAAAGGTACGGCAGTTGAAATGTAAGAAAAACAACCTTCAAGAAAAGACACTCGGCAGTCCGGATTCCTTCTACTCTAAAGGATATTCCTACGAAAATATACGGTCAGAACCTCCTCTGAAAGCGAAAGGCTTCAATCGATAAAACGAAAATAGTACACATATTGTATTATAATTTTAGAAAAAAATTCTAAAATAAAAAAGTTACGTGTTCTGATCACGGATATTTTCAGCTGTATGGATACTAGCCACATTTGATCACGATACTGAATTCGAAGGGAACAGGCGGCAAACAGGCCAATTTGCGAGTTCCAAAAACTCTCATTTTCAAACCGAGGCTAAGGTCAAAACCTTTCTTGCGATAATGAGTTTAATTTGCATGAGAATAAAACTTCATTTTCATATCAATGGCTTCGCACTTAGCTTCGCTTTGAAACAGAGATTTGGCCTATTGTTGTGGTGGGAATATCAGTAAGTCCTAACTGTTCAACAGTAGGATGCCAAAAGTGCGTACCATTTATTTCACAATTGGTTTCAGCTCCATTTAATTATATTTAACACCAACTGAAGCAAGCTATAATGTGAGTCCCTTCTCATTTCAAGGGGAAATTATCCCTTGTTTTGTCTTTTTGGGAAGACAAATTTATTTGCACTCGCTTTTTCTTTGCATAGCTCAAAGTGCAAATTGCGCCCGTAATTTTGATACTTTTTGAAAAACACAGTTCGGCAAATACCCACTGTAGATTCCAAATCGAACTCGAATTCGTGTGATTACGTATACAAAACACAGAAAAAAGGGCACGCAAGACGAAAACAAGCACGGTGACTCCATCTTTTTATTGTAGTTATTCAATTGTAGTATACATGGCTGTCAGTTGTGCCAAGTTTGAAAAAAAATGTTGACAGTACATGCTAAGATGCTATTCCGTTATGGGAATTACATTATTAAAGATGCATTCAATGGAATTCGTTTTCAGTTTACATCTGAATTTTCTATTTCTCCTATTAATGATAAAGGCTAGGAAAAAAAACACATAAAAAATTAGTACTTGGTTGAATATATATTTAACCTGACAAGAGAAATTTCCTCACAGTATACTGTAGATTCATGAAAAAGCAAAAAGCGAAATAATCGCTTGTTTCGACTCACTTGCTCTAAAACCTATGAAGGAGGTTTGTTGTTTAAGATCACTGCCAAAAAAATTACGTTTTTTAATGTTTTATGGTCCTACTTTCTTTTCTTTCCTTAAACTTCTGACACCAGTTGTTCGAAAGGTTTATAACGCTATTCAACGGATAGCAATTGGTTTCTCCAACACTTATCCGCTGGATAGTGATTTATTCGGTGGATAGCCCTATCCAACGTTTAAACAACTGGGGACTTGTTGGTTTAGTCCTAACTAACCGGAGTTAGATAACGTCTTCGACGCAGGTTACAATCCTGGACAAAAGTCCTTGGGACAGCACTGCAATATTCATATTTTTCTGCCTTTTCTCAGCGCATCCTTTTCGAAATTTTTTGCAGTTATCCCTCCCCCCACCCTATACAAAGTTGAAGCTCGGAAAAGAATTCTGGATACACGCGTTCAACATTGTTTGTGGGATGAGGGGAGGGGTTGGACCCGTGTAAATTGAAAAACGCCCCAGAAATGTTAAAGTGTCCTTGATTGTAGGTCTACTTCAGCTGTTTAGTTTAAGAAGGGGCCCTTGTTTTGTCTTTCATTGCTTTTAGCTCCTCTTCCTTGAATATTGTGAAAATGCGCGTGAGCACAGCGATCGTCAGTCGCACATTTTGCAGCTATAGCGACAGTGTCGTCTCATGTTATTTCGCAAGGAATATCTGCTGTTATCTCCTCGAGCGTTACAGTATCCTTCTTTGGCCCAGTGATGACAATGTGTTACACCATCCAAGCAACGTTTTCCTGTGAAAATAAAGAAAACATAATAATGCTTAACCCTGTCACTGTCAAAGGTTTCCAAGGACAAAATTTTAAGAAAATTGCTAAATTTCATTTTGTTAAGTGATAGAATACAAACGGTGATATGTGAAATTAACGGTAACGAATGTTTCATCTGAATGGTCACACCGTATAGGCTTTTGCTTACAGACTTAAGGCGCTTTCCATTTGTCAGAACTGGCCAGCCGGACCATTGCCAGACCATTTAATTTGACAATGAAATCGACTTTTTCCAAGGGTTTTGCTGAAAAACCATCTCCTTCCTGCACACTATTTAGGATTTGACTGGTGTGGCTGTATAGTTTTGATTAAAAATGAAATTCTCATTACGACGGCAAGGATCTGGCCAGTCAATCAGTCACCTTTCGCCTCAAGTAATGGTTCTATTCTTGAAGTTTGGATTCCATGCCGTGGATTGCGGATTCCAGGTACTGGATTCCAGTCTGGCTTCCAATACATAGTGGGATTCCGGATTCCACAAGCATAAATTTTCCTGATTCCGGAATCCTCGATTCCCTTTAAGGCACAGGGCAACACCCTGCGAAACTACATCATTTGCTCTGACAGTAAAAGGCTTAAGCATCACCTTTAAGCCATCCATACATACACTTAGAAAACGTCTATTTACGTAAGGAAAGTTGTCGCTTACCATTTACATAGCCTCCAGCCATGCAAGACGTTCGGCAGTTACGTATCATAAACTTTTCATACGTCTCGCAATAACCTTTCTCTGCCCAAGCAGGACATTCTTTTGCCATTCTATCTTCAACTGATATGCTGCCTAAGGAGAGAAAGTTAAGGTAGGAATCACAACTGACACAAATCGTTTTATAAGGCAGTTTTGACTTTGCAGACCTAATAACAAGGTGCCACAATAGAGCGTTTTGTCATGACGTCATGGCCGCCATATTGGTTTTCCAAACAGCTACAAGTAAACGGCAGCCATATTGGTGTTCTAAAAGAACCCTGTGAGAGCTGAACTCTTTTGTTATGTAAACGCTTTCTGTTGTTTCAATACATTTGAGTGAATAGCAAATGTTTATTAATAGCATATCAAAAATCATTCTATGAAAGTGGCTCGGTCCCTACATGTTACCCACTCGGACCACTATTATATACTAGTTACATGATAACTAATGAAGCAAATTACTAAAATGAATGAAAAAGATTAAAACTTTTACGCAGACGCGATATATCCTACCCTAAACTGTATATCACATTGAAATGTCTCTGGCAAATTGAGACAATGTTTGGCAATAAAGGATATAAGAGGAGGAATAATATAAAGTTTAAAGGCAAGTATTGAGGCTTCAATCGTGGTCATGATATTTTTTTAGAAACAGTAGCCGATTTCTAGACCTCCCCCTGTTCAGTGTTAAATTTAAAGACGATTGTGCAAATCCGTGAAAGCAACATTAGTGGAGAGCGAAGCAATACTCGCACTCGTGAAAAGATTTAAATTATCTCGTGTTTTATGATAGTTAAAGCAAATTAGGCCGTGATGTAGATACTGACTTAAATGTCTTCGCACCCCCATTTAAAACTCTACCAAAACAGCGTGACTTACTTGATGAATTGTAACATAGTCCGCATGTCAAGCGACAAAATCCAAACATGAACACTGGTTTGCTGGTGCAAAGACCTCTTTTGGCCCAGGTGTCACAAGAAGAGACGCAATCCCGACATAAAGGGTCCAACACTGTAAGATAAATAAACAAACGAACAAATATGTACATATGTTAAGTAAATGCAAATTAAAAACACGTTGCAATATATCATGCAAAGGTAGCAGGTCCAGCAGGACTTGACACATCTGTTCAGCAAATTATTGTCCACCTAAGGGGGAAGAAGGCGTTTGGACTGGCTTTGAATTTTTGAATTAACTCATGGTCAGTTATGGATTAACTACCACTCAATGTTTACTGAAACACAGAATTATGATATTCTACAGGATGAGGCTGGAATGAGCTCTTGCTTGTAAGCCACCATCTTCTCAAAACAGAGAAATTTTCCTACTCCCATCAAAGCTTTACAGTAAGCAAGCGCGACTACAGGTTATGTTTTCTTTTTTGTTCTCAAGAGACTGAATAATAAGTGAATTAGTTTTCATTTTACAGAGTACACGTAAAGTAAAAGTTATTCAAAATTGAAATTAAGAGGAAATTGGCCTCCGGAGAGGTCGGCAAACTTTTATTCAGAGTTGTGAAGAGAGAATAGTTGGTCGTTATCCCGTGGGGGAGTGGGAGGGGGGAGGGTTACTAAGAGGCTAATGGGGATGTGCCGCTGGATGGGGTCGCATTTTCAGGACTGGATTGACTACAACGGGGTTGCATTTTCAATAGAGTTACGAGAATGGGGTCGTAAATTTTCGGATTTTGGGGGTAAGTGAAGATTCAAAATGGGAAGAATCTCGGTTAAAAAGAAAAAGTTGTTGTTTATTAAATTTAACAATAAGCTCGGATGGACCGCATTGCATTGCTTGAGACCACGTTAATAAGGTAAATGCATAAATAGAAAGTGACTAACTAGGGATCGCGAAAATTGCATTTTCCAAAAAGTGACTAAGATGAGGTCTATAATTGGCCAAAAAAAGACTATAATGGGGTAGGGGCTCTGAGAGGCAAGCGGCACAATACCCAGGAAACATTAACCCAAGTACCCCCCCAACCGGATCATTATGCTCTCTTAGTGTGTCGCCATCACAATCTTGTATTCTCTTAATTTATTCCATGTAGATGTAGATCTCACCTAGTTTTTCTGGTACGCACTTATGGCAAGCCCAAGGGCACCAATGATCCATCCTTTTGGCCTTTTTTTCACAAAGCCCCCGGCTCCTCCAATGTGAACATTTTCTGTGTCGGTCATCACACTCGCCCCAAGTCAAATACATGCTATTTATCTGTTTTATAGTTCTGAACACTGCAACGAATTGAATTATTATTATTATTATTTTACATTTACTGATCGTAGCATTTCCAGCGTGTCCCAGTATGCTGTATGGTTCGTCATATCTGACGGGAATGGCAACGAGTTATGGAATGGGTTGGGAAAGCTGTTTTGGTTCATATTCGTTTTAAGAAACGGTCCAGATAAGAGCGATAGCAACAACGGCAACGAACATGTTGGAATGCAAAAAAGGTGCTAAGTTTTCTATTGTCTGTACTTACTTCTGATTGGCTTAAACAGCAAAAGTTACCAAAACGTCATAAAGCGGTACATATATTCATCCTTACTTTCCAACCATCTTCCATATAACAAAATCTGGTCTCAGTTTGAATAAGAAAGAAATCCTATGTGGGGAACATGTAAAATTGTAAACTTTTCTTGGCTATTATTCTTGTGATTGGTCAAAATCTTTTAGCACAAAAAAGTACCCTTTCAAAGTGGAGTGTAAATGCATTTTATTGCGTAAACGGCCTTCATGTAGGTTTATGCATTCTCTGTGTAAAAATGAGAATATTCCTATGTGGGGAAAGCACCGTTGCCGCATAACAAAAGAAATTGCTATCCACCTTACCCGGGTCATTACTTAATTAGCGAGTAGTCAGAGCATCTGAACTGATGATGTATAGAGCGTTTTCACTCACGTGACCAGCATCTATGCAAATTTATAGGAACAAAAGGATATTGTTTACATAAGAAAAGAGATCAGCTCCCAGAGGATTGGTTTGGAAAACCAACATGGCCGCCGTTTTATTGTTTTGGAACACCCATATGGCCGCCGTGACGTCATATGAAAACGTTCTGTATTGTTAGTAGTTTGTATTCTTTTTTATTCATAACCTTGCAGTCTGTTCAAAAATTGTTGTTGCCACAATTTAAGCTTAAATATTGATTTGTCTGTCTTCGCGATTGCTTGAACATGGAATCAGTTACATGTGATCACATATGATGTATACGGAGATGAGAATAAAATTCTATCAGCAAGCCAAGGTTCAGAGCGGAAAGGCAACGACCAGCCTCTACCCCTAAGGTCTATACGTGTGTCTTACGTTGCGTAGAAGTGATGCTGCGTTGACTTTTATGGTACAAATCTTAGTGGTTTATACCTGGGTCCAGTTGTTCGAAGGCTGATTTGCACTTAACCCGGGGTTAAATTTAACGAGGGTTTCTTTTCGTTTGTTCTAAAGCATTTTCTCGGATAATTTTCTCTGTTCTTTATTAGAGTTTCCCATCATCAACTTGGACACAAAAAGAATTGAAACTGAAATGCTTTTTAAGGTTTCAAATCTGAACTCAAATCTCGCACTAACCCTGGATTATCTTAACCCAGCTTTGAAGAACTGAGCCCTGGGGTTTAAATTCAGTGACCTAACGTTAGAATCAAATCCAGCCTCTCTTACACTCAAAAGGCCAGGTCACAAAGTACACCAATGTAAAAGAGCCTAAAGGCTATAGCTGTATATCATACTACTAATCGTCAGTTGCTTACATTTGGGAAGGCAATAGCCCCATCTCTTGTCTTTATTGTAGTTTACTGTTACTGCACACCACTTCTTCTTATTAAAGGACATACAATCGTAAACGAGTCGATTTTTAAAGAAAAACGGAAACGTGCAGGCTCTTCCACGGCCATTTCCACCGAAGGTACATATGCCACAGCTTCGCGGGCAGCTGTTCCGCATATAAGAAGGATTAGTTAAGCACTCGCCGTGTAGTGCCCACTCTCCACAGTTACTGTGCACGTCCATGCAATCCGGAGCCTCTTCATCTGTTTGGCAGTGCCCCCATTTCTTATCTTTGTCATAGTTGTCTGTAGTTGCGCACCATGTTTTTCCGTGTTTGCAGCCGTCATATGTGCATTCCCTGTACGTTTTGTTTTCGAAGATGAACGGAAACACACATGGTGCGTTTTTAGCGTTTCCATCCAACGTATAGACTAGAAAATATACAAAATGAATAAGACTCTTCCCAAAATATTTATATAAAAAAAATAAGACTGTCAACGAATTAACGCAAACAAAAGAAGAGAACTGCCATTTGTGCACGTAATTTTTTAGTTCTCTCTCACGAGCTTCTAATCTAGATCTCTCGCTTTTAACCAATTCCTTTGCTCACACTCTTAACTACAGCCCTATCCAGAACATATCAAGAAAGTTAAACGAAGTTCACTTGAAAAGAAATTAAAGGTTTCCATTTACCCATTTTTTTTCCTATCCATTTAAGACTGATTACTAATACTGACCCACGGTCGTACGCGAAATCTAACTTGAGAATATCGGAAGTGGTCAATATATTTTTCCTCTAAGCATTTTTTCATTCCTTTTTATTCTTTTTTCGACTTGATATTTGAATGGCACCTACCAACTTTTGCTGAATGTTCCTGAATTAGCATGTAGTGATCGTACATGGTGTCTTCCATGGTGTGATTCGATCTGGTGTAAGCTGTTTTAAAATCAAAGTAATACAGTGTTACAATTTATTAAGCTGGTGAGTGGTTTGGAGGGTGGGGTGGTGGCATGAAGTTACTTTTCCCCTAGCAACGTTTTGAATATCAATCGAAAATTTGTAGCAATGAAAATTAAACTGTATGTCACGGAGAGTCCCCCCACCCTCCACCCTCTCCATCTCTTTTTCTGTTAAATTTCATCCTCAATAAGTTTCCTTTGTTACAACCCCCCAAAAACTAACCTTGAAAATATGAGTCTTTTAATCTAGAAGTAAATATCAAATTCGAGTGGACTAATTTTTCAGATTTTCAGATTATCAGTGTGACTATCAGGTCTTACTAGATATTAAACCCTGGCCTTTAAATTTGCTTTGGTGAATAAGAGATAATGTGAATGGCATAACTATCCGCCACTTATCCAACACCATCTTGTTTGCTAACTCACAAGTGACTTCACAGCTGTTCAAACTTGGCCTGATTTCTCATGTCAGGGGCCTGTTTCTCGAATTGAAAGTCCCGATGACTATTCGACCCCGAAAAGGTGCTTCGTGTTTGTCCTGTTTGCATTGAAGATCAAGGTTCCAATCCTTTTGAAAATCATCCAATAATACCATCAGTTAACAAAGCAAAATTGAACTGGTTTGTGAGCTAAGAACTGTGCCATTATTCAACAAGTTTTGACTTTAAAATTTGCCTTCGGGCCCGTAAAGTTTTCGGACCTTCGAGAGAGGGGCTCCAGGTTTGAAGTCAGGTTTCACATCCACGTTAAGCTTAAGTAATACGGTCAACATTTTCGCTCAACTTGTTGCGCAACATTATTGCTAGCATTGCAAGTTGAAAAGCGTTGTTGCCCGTATTACCACATTCGCCCACAACTTGTCACGCAGCAAATTTCAATGCTGCAATTTGAGGCTCGTTAAAAACATATTGCGTTGTGAATGGTCAGCTCTGTGTTTTGTGTCAGCAAACACAATCAGTTGAAGAGCTGGCCTTTCTAAGAAAGTGAGGGATAGCCATCCTTGGTTTAGCATTATCAGTGGGCGAAGAAGATCAAAACTACACAAAAGAAACTGAAATGTTTACATAATAGAGTGGATGCTTTGCGGGAAGAAATTGTGGGGCCTTTACCATTAGCTGGAAAAGGAACTTGAATCGGGAATCATTGTTGCTTAAATTTTTGAACATAAAGTGAAAACTCATCCAAAGCTCTTGTCCTCCGCTACTTGTTTTTATAATCCGCTCAACAAGTTTTCCACAGACATGGGGCTTGTCAAGTTCTTTACATAAAATCTAAAAAACCTCCACAACCTCCACCAAATTTACTTCCTGCCTAAATTTTCCCGAGGTCAAGTGGGCAGCAATGCTTTTTAACTTGCAATGCAACAATGTTGCGCGACAGGTTGAGCGAAAATGTTGCCTGTAATACCTGATCTTCAAGGGTGAATTCTCAGGGTTTTTATTAATAACGATGTAGGCCTGTCCTAATAGTTACTGTAAATATCACATTCTCGTTCACTAGCTCTAATATGTTGACTTTTCATTTGTTGGTTTTTACTTAGTAATTAATAGTACTTGAAAATAAGAAGAGAGAATTGGCACCTTCGCTCGTCGCCTGTGCAGACCACATACCAAAAGTTAACACATAAAAGACAGCCATACAAAAACAAGTCGCTTTCGTTGTTTCCATGCGGACCCTAAAAAAACATAAAATAGAACAATGATTATGCAAAGAATCTTATCTTCGTTCACATGTAACTTTATTCTATTTCTTGTTTTGGATTTATATCCGAGATCTAATGAAAACGGACAGCCATCAAAGTGGAAATAGTTGAAAACGATATGGGTAAGCCCGTTTAAAAAAAAACAAAAACAAAAATCAGAAAAGACCGTTTTCTTTATATATTTTGGATAGAAAAGAATACATTTTAGAACAGAAAAAAGAAGTTTCAAAAAAGCCCAAAAAATCGAAATTTTCCAAAGGGGTTAGTCCATGGTTCTTGTAAAAAAAAATCGAACTTTTTACCATGTGTGCTTTTTTGGCAAACCAAGGTAGAAAAGATCGCTTTTTGAATAATATTCTGGATCGAAAAGAATACTTTTTAGACCAGAAAAGTGAAGTTTCAAAAAGTGACGTTTCAAAAACGTCCGAAAAATCGAATTTTTAAAAGGGTTTAGTCTATGGTTTTTGACAAAAAAATTGAGCGTTTTACCATGCGGGTTTTTTATGCAAACTAAGGTAGAAAAGATTGTTTTTTCATATTCTGAATAGAAAAGAATACTTTTTAGAGCAGAAAAGTAAACATTCAAAACTGTCTAAAAAATCGCAATTTTTTAAAGGGTTTAGTCCATGATTCTTGTCAAAAAATCAAACTTTTTACCATGTGTGCTTTTTTCCAAACCAAGGAGGAAAAGATTGCTTTTTAATCTTATGGAGAGAAATGAATACTTTTTAGAGCAGAAAAGTGAAGTTTCAAAAACGTCCGAAAAATCGAATTTTTCAAAGGGGTTAGTCCATGGTTTTTGTCAAAAAAATGAGCTTTTTACCATGCGGGCTTTTTAGTCAAACCAAGCCAGAAAAGATCGTTTTTTAATATTCTGGATAGAAAAAAATAAATTTTAGACCAGAAATGTAAAGTTTAAAAAAGGTCCAAAATATCAAATTTTTCAAAAGATAATAATAATAATAATAATTAAAAATTTATAACGCGCCTTTTCCATGCAAATATGATCAAAAGCGCGTAACAACAAGTAAATGTTAAAAGAAAATAAAAGCTAAAATGAGCAAAATAATTAAGGCCAAGAATAAACAACGCTAAAAATTAAATAAAGATAAAAAAACACTAAATATATTACATAGTAGGTTAAAAAAAATTACATATCAAAAGCTAGTCTAAAAAGATGCGTTTTAAGTAAAGATTTAAAACGTTCAAAATTGTCCTCAAGGCGGATGTGAAGGGGCAGATTGTTTCATAAATTAGGGTCAGCAGATGAAAAAGCACGATCCCCTAAAGTCTTCTTTCAGTTTTAAACTAGGATACTTTAAGATAAGACCGCTAGCTGAACGGAGATTATAGCGCGGCTGTTCTTTAATAGCAATCAAATCGATCAAGTAACCAGGCGCATGACCGTAGATAGCTTCAAAAGTAAAAAGGTTAGTCAAAGAGGTTAGTCCATGGTTTTTGTCAAAAAATTGAGCTTTTTACCATGCGGGTTTTTTAGGCAAACCATGGCAGAAAAGATCGTTTTTTAATATTCTGAATAGAAAAGAATACTTTTTAGACCGGAAAAGTGAAGTTTTAAAAACGTCCGAAAATCGGATTTTTTAAAGGGGTTAGTCCATGGTTTTGTCAAAAAATTGAGCTTTTTACCATGCGGGATTTTTAGGCAAACCAAGCCAGAAAAGATCGTTTTTTAATATTCTGGATAGAAAAGAATAAATTTTAGACCAGAAAAGTGAAGTTTCAAAAAGGTGCAAAAAATCAAATTTTTCAAAGAGGTTGGTCCATGGTTGTTGTCAAAAAATTGAGCTTTTCACCATGTGGGTTTTTTAGGCAAACCAAGGCAGAAATGATCGTTTCTAAATATTCTGGATAGAAAAGAATACTTTTTAGGCCAGAAAAGTAAAGTTTCAAAAAGATCCAAAAAATCAAATTTTTCAAAGAGGTTAGTCCATGGTTTTTGTCAAAAAATTGGGCTTTTACCATGCCAGATTTTTAGGCAAACCAAGGAAGAAAAGATCGCTTTTTAATATTCTGTATAGAAAAAATAAATTTTAGTTCAGAAAAGTGACGTTTCAAAAAGGTCCAAAAAATCGTAATTTTCAAAGGGGTTAGTCCATGTTTTTTGTCAAAAAATTGAGCTTTTCACCAAGTGGGTTTTTTAGGCAATCCAAGGCAGAAAAGATTGTTTTTTTGATATTCTGGATAGAAAAGAATACTTTTGGAGCAGAAAGGTGAACTTTTTAAAAAATGTGTAAAAAATCGCAAATATTTAAAGGGTGTAGTCCATGATTCTTGTCAAAAAAATCTAACTGTTTACCATGTGTGCTTTTTTCCAAACCAAGGAGGAAAAGATAATATTATGGATAGAAAAGAATACTTTTTAGACCAGAAAAGTGAAGTTTCAAAGACGTCCGAAAAATCGAGTTTTTCAAAGGGGTTAGTCCGTGTTTTTATCAAAAAATCAAGCTTGTTACCATGTTGGTTTTTTAGACAGACTAAGGCAAAAAAGATCATTTTCCAATATTCTGGATAGAAAAAAATACTTTTTAGAGCAGAAAAGTGAAGTTTCAAAAACGTCCTAAAAATGGAATTTTTCAAAGGGGTTATTCCATGGTTTTTGTCAAAAACTTGAGCTTTTTACCATGTGGGTTTTTTAGGGCTTTAAATGCAGAAACGATTGTTTTTTAATAATATGGATAGAAAAGAAAATTTTAGAGCAGAACAGTGAACTCTTAAAAAAATGTAGAAAATCGCCATTTTTGACAGGGGTTAGTCCATGGTTCTGTTCAAAAAATAGAACTTTTTACCATGTGTGCTTTTCTGGCAAGCCAAGGAAGATAAGATCTCTTTTTAATATTCTGGATCGAGAAGAATACTTTTTAGATCAGAAAAGGGAAGTTTCAAAAAATGTTCTTGTCAAAATATCGAGCTCTTTACCATGTGGGTTTTTTAGGCAGCCTAGTGCGGAAAAGATTGTTTTTTAATATTGTGGATAGAAAAGAATACTTTTTAGACCAAAAAAGTGAAGTTTCCAAAAGGTCCGAAAAATCGAGTTTTTCAAAGGGGTAAGTCCATGTTTTTATCAAAAAATCAAGCTAGTTACCATGTTGTTTTTTTAGGCAGAGAAGGCAAAAAAGATCGTTTTCTAATATTCTGGATAGAAAAGAATACTTTTTAGAGCAGAAAAGTGAAGTTTCAAACAGGTCCAAAAGATCGAATTTTTCAAAGGGGTTAGTCCTTTTTTGTGGTCAAAAAATTAAGCTTTTTACCACGCGGGTTTTTAGGCAAACCATGGAAGAAAAGATCGACTTTTAATATTCTAAATACGAAAGAATACTTTGAAGACACAAAAAGTGAAGAGTTAAAAAGCGTCTGAAAAATCGTATTATTTAAAGAGGTTGGTCCATATTTTTTGTCCAAAAATTTAGCTTAACGTTTTACAATGTGGGTTTTTTAGGCAAACGGAGGCAGAAAAAATGGTTCTTTTAATATTGTGGATAGAAAAAAATACTTTTTAGAGCAGAAAAGTGAAGTTTCAAAAATATCTTACAAAAATCGCAATTTTTTAAAGGGGTTAGTCCATGGTTTTTGTCAAAGGGGTTAGCCCATAGTTTTTGTCCAAAAATGGCAGTTTTTCTAACTCTTTTTTTGAGGCAATAATGGCCAGGAAAATGTCTTTTACGATATTCTAGAACGAAAAAACGCCTTTCTAGGCTATAAAAACAAGAAGATCAAAAAGTCGAAAAATAGACATTTTTCCAAAGGGGCTAACCCATGGTTTAAATCAAAAAATGGCCATTTTTCCAACTTTTTTTTGCAGGCAATATAGGCCAGGAAAATGTCTTTTACGATATTCTAGAACGAAAAAAAGCCTTTATAGGGTATAAAAACAAGAAATACAAAAAGTCAAAAAATTGACCTTTTTCCAAAGGGGTTAACCCATGGTTTTGGTCCAAAAAAAGGCCACTTTTACAACTTTTTTATTTGAAGCAATCTAGGCCAGAAAAATGTCTTTTACGATATTCTAGAACGAAAAAACGCCTTTCTAGGCTATAAAAAGAAGAAGTTAAAAAAATCAAGAAATAAAAATTTTTCCAAAGGGGTTAACCCATGGTTTTGGTCCAAAAATGGCCATTTTTCCAACCTTCTTTTCAGCTATATAGGCCAGGAAAATCTGTTTTATGATATTCTAAAACGAAAAAACGCGTTTCTAGCCTAAAAATACAAGAAGTTCAAAAAGTCGAAAAATTGACAATTTTTCAAAGGGGTTAACCTATGGTTTTGGTCCAAAAATGGGCATTTTTCAAACTTTTCTTTTTGAGGCAATAATGGCCAGGAAAATGTCTTTTACGATATTGTAGAACCAAAAAGCGCCGCTGTAGGTTATCAAAACAAGAAGTTCAAAAAGTCGAAAAATTGATATTTTTCCAAAGGGGTTAGCCCATGGTTTTGGTCCAAAAAAGGTCATTTTTGCAACTTTTGTTTTTAAAAAAATATAGGTCAGGAATATGTCTTTTATGACATTCTAGGACGAAAAAACGCCTTTTAGGCTATAAAAAGAAGAAGTTCAAAAAATCAAAAAATTGACCGAAGGGGTTGGCCCATGGTTTTGGTCCAAAAATGGCCACTTTTCCAACTTTTTTTTTAAGCAATATCGGCCAGGAAAATGTCTTTCACAATACTCTATAACGAAAAAATGCCTTTCTAGCCTATAAAAACAAGAAGTTCAAAAGGTCGAAAAATTGACATTTTTCCAAAGGAGTTAACCCATGGTTTAAATCCGAAAATGGCCATTTTTCAAACTTTTTTTTAAGGCAATGTAGTCAAGGAAAAGGTCTTTTACGATATTCTAGAACGAAAACACGCCTTTCTAGGCTATAAAAAAACAGAAGTTTAAAAAGTCGAAAAAGTGACATTTTTCCAGAGGGTTTAACAAATGGTTTTGGTCCAAAAATGGTCATTTTTC